GTAAACAAGCATAGGATTAGTCAATGTTCTTTATGCCTGGACCAAAGGGTAAAGAATAAGATTGCTCCTATTTGGCACATGCCATATTTAATGCTTCTCATTACTTTACATTATCCAATTCATTACATAAGAATAAAAGTTTTTAATATCTCAAAATTCTCCAAACCAATTCATCCAAAAGGGGTTATCTTTAGAATTAATATTTGCATTTAATTATAGTTACTATCTTTACATTTAACACTTGCATTTAGGAGTAGTTGCTAGATAAAACATCATTTTAATTGACATTCCAAACTAAGGACTAATTGTTGTAGACTAGGATTTGACTAAGGACCTCTTACCTCGCTTCCCTGTGAGATCGATAAACGAGACTCCACTAGAGCCCTGTACTACTTGAGCGATACGTATACTTGCGTTTGAAATTGTGACTTTACAAAATCATTATAAATATATAAATCTGGGTCCATAAATTTAAGCATATATAAAGTCGCTGTCAGTAATCGATGCAGGGAGGTTGAGAAGGGTGGAAAGCGTGTATGCGGCTGCAACGAGATACAACGATTGGGAGCAACACATTTTTTTGACATAAGTGCCTAGCCATGCACATTTTTTGGGTGACATATCACTATTATAAATAAAATAAAATTTGATAATAATAATAATAATAAGAGAAATTACATACATACCACACAATTCTTATTTATTTGCATATCTAACAATCAAAATTTGATATTTACATTTATGATATCTTATTATTAAAAATTTATGCATGAGAAGACGTGTTACACTTTTAAAACTATAATAAATATGATATTTTTGATGCCGTGTTAAAGATTTGAATGATGCAAAATTTATTTTGATCATGCAAAATTTCCTCACTCCGTTTAAGAGTAGTGTTTGACCGAAGATAAATATGCCTCGTGTCATTTTCGTCGAACTAAACCTTCCCAACATGACCTCTTCCTCCTAGCTTTTCTGAATTTCAGTAATTTTCCAATTAATTTTAAAAAAGGAAAAATTACAAATATAGCACCCAATTTTTATGATTTAACTATCTCACACCTAAACTTCCACTCTTAAAAACCTTTTTATATCCTCAACACTTTGGGAAATTATTTCTTCCCGTGTTCCGATCGAAGAAGAAAAACAAAGTGAAAAGATGAACTGGATCAGCCGCAGGATCCATCTCTACAACGTCACCATGGGACTTTACATGCTTGACTGGTGGGAACGCTACCTCTTCAGTATCCTGTTTTTTTTTTCTATACCATTTGAAAATTCTTTCTTCCATTTTCACAATCTGCTGAGAAATTTTGATATAAGGAGCGTTGTTATTGCTGCGGTGCCTTAATCTGGGTAGATACTCTGATTCTCGTTTTGCTCTGGTTCATTTTCTACAATGGATCTCGATCCGCAAAAGAGTTCTATAACAGGTTAGATTTATTTATTTATTTTTTCCGATCATGCATTGGATAAATTAATTTGTTTTTCGCCTAAAGCCTGTCTACGTTCCATTAAGTTTACAGTGTAGCTAGGTTTTCTTTTGCGCCTTCTTTCGAGCTATTTCAAACATTTTAACTTACTTCTTTGATGAAATTTTTTGAGGTTTCTTGTTTATTGTTTTTTTTTTCTCTGTAAATGGCACTGTCATGTACTCTGGCAAGTTTGAGTTGCTTACCCTTACAATGTAATGCGATTTGAAGAATGTATTGTGATATACTAGTGATTGGCTCAAGGTTTAATATGTTTGGTTCAGTTTTAGTTTCAAATATCCTTTGGTAAATTTGACAGTTTTATTCTAATGTACTCGGTGTTTAATCTGACTTTTAGTTGTATATCTAAATTTTAATAGAGGATAATAATCTTTAAAATAAACAAGCTGTTAAAAATCTTTGATGAATATCTTGTATGCATGATTTAAGAACAATATATATAAAAAAAGTGATTTAAATTTTAAATATTGGGTCTTAATTCATGTTGTGCTTTTATATGATTGCTAAGCATTTGATTTATATTTGTATAAAGAAAATAAAGTGATAAAAATATCTGTAAATTTATTTGATGGAGTAAAGAATCCTTTGATTAATAATTGTTAATTCTATCAGGAATTATAATTGTTTGAAATTCTGAATCTATTGCATTGATATGTGACTTTTGTAATATATTTATGAAAGAAGATGTGCGATGCAGTTCGGTAGTTTTTAAATTTCCTTTTAAAAGCTTTCTTCTTCTTCCCAATTAATAATCAAAGCTAGTTTTTGAATGTCATACTTGTGCCATTCATTTTGTTAGCATGCCTTTTCAATGCTGGCAAAAATTGATGAATGTGTCAGATACTCAGAATTGAATGAATTGGCAGAAATCTAAGATCATCAATGATTTTTTGGTCATTATTTGTTTAATGAAAAATTTCAATCAGTTTTGGTTAAAATTTTAAGCTATGGTTGCTCCACAATTTCTATGATTGTTTGTCATACTTATCTTTATTAGTTTATCAATTACTTTTTTTTTTTTTCATTGACACTTGTGTTTCCTCATCTCCAATTTGGAAAGCTGTAAAAGTCAAAATGCAAAACAATGTTGATAGGACAGATTAAAATAGTTATTCCATTGGAATTAAAAGAAGTTGGTATTATTATTGAATAAATTGATGCCAATTATCTATTGAAGCCTTTGTCAACATATTGAAAATTATTCCATATAGCTTTATAAAAATAGTTCAAAAATTTCTCATGTCTGACGTGTTGGAACACCATCATCAGTGGCAACATAGTAGGTAGGCTGTATGTCAGAAAATTCTAAAATTCTCTTATATGAGGTTGCCTTGTGTTTGGTATTGACTCCTCAACCTCGTGATGCTCTTAGGCAACCAATATCAGTCTCTCTGATGCTTCTCTTAATACATGCAAAAAGGTAGTTTGTGGCATCACATCCTCAAGTTCTACATGAACATCTATTACCTCTAAAACAATCAATGATAATCTTATACGTCTCGAAACCCAAATTACCGAACAAGCAACGACAAAACGACAATAGATATATGGAAAAAAAAATGCAAAAAATGGTTGCTCTTACGAAAATCAAAGGAAAACAAGCAAGATACTAGGAAAATCTACGAAAATCTACTTTTCGAGAGTTATATCATCTCTCCCACACCTTAGACGTTGCTAGGAACACCGCACAAAGAAAAAAAACAACAACCCAACAAAAACATGCATAGAAGATAACAAACCTTAGGTTACTCCCCTTAATAGAATCCTCTCACAGCATTTCAAAAACTTTCCTTTCCAGCTTTCCCTCCAACTCCCTTAATTTCTCCTCCTTGAGTATATGATTAAGCACCTTGTGGACCCCGCTTGCGCTCGACTTCCTTCTGCTACGGCTAAGTGCCGCTCGTCTGCTTCTCTTGAAAGGGATGGCGGGTCGGTTTGGTGGCCTTCGACTAGTCCAGGATGGATCGGTCCAGTTCCTGGCGTAATTGTACTCCACCCACAAAGAAGTTTCTTGTCCTCGAGGTGGAAGGATAAAAATTGCTTGTGGCATCACCTTGTAAGGCTCCCACATTGCTTCACAGTCTAACAGACCTTTCCACTTAACTAATACCTCCTTTGCTTCCCCCACTTCTTGGCACACTCCTTCTATCTCTAGTGGCTCTAGAATCCCCTCCAAGTCCTTCGTCAGTGTTGGTGGTAGTGTAGATGAGAGTGCATGATCTCCAATCGTACGTCTCAGCCTTGATACATGGAAGACCGGGTGTAGTGCGAACGATAGTAGTTATCTCAAACGATAGGCCATTGCCTCGATGCATGTCATCACCTCAAAGTTCCAAAGTAATGCGGTGAAAGTTTCTCGCTTGTCTTGACCAATGTCTTATGTCAGTAGGACCTAGTTTCAAGTAGATCATGTCCCCTGGTTTAAATTGCACATCTCTACTGTGTTCATCCGTTTTTTCTTCATGATTTGTTGAGCTCTCAGTGGATACCTCTTGAGCTCTGCCAGTATCATGTCCCTCTTCTCCAAGTGCTGATCGACGTTGAATACTGGTGTAGCGCTATGCTTATAATGTTTCAAGTAAGGTGGATCCGCCTATACAATATTTTGAAAGAGGTGGTCTGTGCTGTAGTGTGGTACGAAGTATTATACCAATTTGGCCCATAGCTTTGGTGTATCAGATACAAAATAATGCAAATACTTCTCTTAAGGACCGTCCCTTGCAACCTATATAGCTTCTTTCAGAAGTGGCTGAGAAACACCTTGTCCTTATCTGATACAATAGATTCTGGCACTCCGTGCAAACGTACCACTTCTAGAATAAACACCGCCGCGACTGAGACTATATCGTAGGCAGCTTGTAAGATAATGAAATATGCATACTTACTCTGACGATCTATGACAATCATAATCACCGTGAACCCTTCTGACCCAAGAGGGGACAATTATAGAATATCTTGAGAAGTTCGAGCTCTTTTGTTAGGGAGGTTGAGGGGGCTTTTTGCAGCAGGACTAGAAGAAAACTTCTTGAAAGGCTTAAAGCTTAACATACGAGCAACCATTTGCCTCTTGAGACCGCGAGGATTGAGGGAAATAATGGAACTCGCCCAGAAGATGGAAGAGAAGAAACATGTGAAAAAAAACCAACTAAGCTACAAGAGTACCCTGAAAATTATGACACCGACCACCCAGACGATGTCTTTTCAGAAAGAGATGCCGAAGGAAAAGAATACAAGAACCCGTCTTTTTGGGGTAATTTCAAGTGTCTCACAGATGCAAAAGTATAGGATAAAAGAGCAAAATAATTGTGTTATCGCTGTAACAAAAAATATGCCCAAGGGCCACAGTTGCAAGGAACGCTCTCTTCAGATTCTAATAGTTTAGGAGGATACAAAGAGTGAGGAATCGGAGGAGGAGGCGGTGAAGGAGAGCATCTGCATCTGGATGTGGTGGAGGTGTCCCTCAATTCTTTGGTGAGATTTACTCCAAATCACACCATGAAGGTGAGGGAGCAGATAGGGGAACAACCAATTGTGGTGTTAGTGTATAGAGGGGCCACACATAACCGTTGCAAAGGACGCTCTTGTAGATAGATTATGTTTTCTTCGTTGTCTTCTCACTCAATCTCCTTTCCTTTTGACTTGACTAATGATTCCCTGATCAACCCTTGGTTAGGTTTTGCAACTGGAGTAGTAGGCACGGCCTTGGATTGCATCTCCATGAGATTTTTCATGTTCTCTCACATTTCTCCTATGCTCTCAAATCCATCTTCTATATGACTTTCAATGGAAGAAAACCCGTTCTCCATGGTGGCAAACCTCTTTTTTATTTCCGATTTGATTTGTCCTACCTCTCCTTCTGGCACATTCGCTTTCTTCGCTGTAATCTCACCAAGTTCTAGGCTCTGATATCAATTTGATACATCTTGGAATTGAAATCAGCGAACAGGCAACGACGAAACAACAATAAATAGGTGGAAAAAACACAGACAAGGACAGCTCTTATGAAATGAAAACAAACAAGATACAAAGATGATCTACTTTTAGAGAGGTGAATCGTTTCTCCCACACCCTAGACATTGCTAGGAACAACACACAAAGAAAGAAAATAACAACCAAACAAAAACATGCATAAAAGAAAATAAATCCTAGATTACTCCCATTAATAAAATCCTCTCACAGCATTTCATAAACTTTCCTTTACATCTTCCCTTCCAAACGCCCTTAATTTCTCTTCTTTGAGTGTGATTAAGCTCCTCGTGGACTCTATCTGCACCCGACTTCCTTATGCTACAACAAAGTGCCGCTCGGCTACTTCGCATGAAAGTGAACGACCCGCCTGTTGTTGTGGCAGGCCGGTTTGGTTGCCTTTTGACCGGTTCAGTTCTAGGCGTAACATAATTCTCTTAGAGTCTCTCTCGTGGGCTTAGCTTAAATCACTATAGTCTCTCCCTCGTTGGTTATAAGCTAATACTCTTCTCCAATCTCCGCCTATGGGTCTTCATCCATTACCTCCTCCACGACACTTTACTTGGTGAAAGATATCATTCTCTTTTTGGGAAATCTGATGCAACGTGTCTAAATCCGTGACACTTGAAGCATTGCTGGCTAGGATGGATTTGGGAGTGTTGATGGGCTCTATCTTTTCTTTGCTCTGGATTGACTTTTCCTTGGGTGGTGTTGGCTTGACTGTTCCATTGGACGCATTTCTATCTGATTCTAGTGTTGAACTCTGTCCGTGAGGTGTGTTTGTCACCTCATGATGTTTCTGTTTTTCCACCTTCAAAGCTAAGTGCATCTAGTAGAGACTAGTATGACTGCGACTGCACCACATTACTAATAAACGACCTCAGTCCTCCAAGATATCTCGTTCCTGTGTACTCCTCTGGCTCTACCAACTCACATTCAACATAAGTTGATTAAAGTTAGCGGTGTACTCCACA